GGGAAATTTTGGTGAAAGAGTAACTTGATGACAATCAGAATTTTGGGTGATTGTTGTAAGTGTAATTTCATTTATCTTCTGAATGTTAAAGAACACCAACACTTTTGTAGCATTATGTAGGACTGGTTGCGGGTACTCGAATTCGACCCGTTGGCATCCGTCTTGCAGTATCCGAAATCCGGGAACCCGATCATGTTTTTTGCCAATGAGAACCTTAGGGGGTCTGAGTGCGTGTTCTCTCGGTCGGCTATCTGGTACTCGAGGATATCCCGAGTTTAAGGGAAGAGAAAGGTAGAGTCGAGCCGAGCCGAGGGAGATGGTCCGAGGGGAGGGATCGAGGGCTGTGAGTGCGAGTGATGACTGAAGTTAGGGTTTTTTCGTTTTCGATTGGTATTTTCGATTTTTCTCAAAGGGTGAGTTTGTGGCATTGAGCGAGGGATTTCGTCTCGGTCGCACCCTGTTAAATGTGTATCTCTCTTCTTTCCTGTCTCGTCAGATCGTCTATGTATCCTGCATTATTATTTCGGATTTCGGTTCGATTTTTCAATTCAGTTGTTTTAATTCGGTTTATTCGGTTCAATTCGGTTATTCTTTTAATAACTGAAATGTCCATCTCGAAAAAACTCTTTTGATATCAGATGAATCCAAACTAGAATTTCATAAAATAAAAATAACAATAATTTTAAATTTTTGTAGGTTTAATAACTTAAAAAAAAAACTATTTTCGTTAGGATACGAGTTATTTTGGGCCTTAATGGGCCTTTTTGTGATTTTGGGCTTTTCTAATTGGACTACGTAACAATACGCTGGTTACGCGCGCTTTAACCGATTGTGAATCTGCCCTCCGTTTCCGTCTCTTCCAACAGTTCTCTAGCTCAAAGGGGAGTTTTTCCCCCATGGAGTCTCTTCTCTCTCTCATTTTCTAGGGTTTGGGAAATCACAGTTCACGAGGCATGATCTCCTTCCTATTTGCTGGTTTTCCTGGAAAATCTGAGGAGATGGAGCGGGAATCCCTAGAATTTTTATCTGTTTGGGGTTTCTGACAAAACGGTCCCCGCCTCGGGAACGGGGTTTCGACCAATCTAAGCTGTTGGTGGAGAAGAAAACGGACCTGAAAAAAGAATGCCG